ACTCATCACCGATTTGTGCCGCAACAATCGGCTGAACTACTCCGACTGGATGAGCGGCTGGAGTCTGATACTGGGGAGCCATCTGCTCCGGAGTGTGAGTAGCAGGAGTCTGGGCTCCTCCTCCAGCCTGAGAGACGACTGGTGCCATTGGAAATGCGCCAGTCTGGGCCACACTCTCCATAAGGCCCACCAAACGGACCAAAGCGTCCTAAAGCACTGGATGGCAATGAATCCCTCCGGAACCTGAGCTGGTACAGCCTGGGTTGGAACCTCCTCATCAAACTCTACCTGAGGCTCCACCGCTGGTGCCACTGCTCGGGCTCTGGGCTGAGCCCTACCCCTGCCTTGGCCTCTGGCACGGCCTCGGCCTCGACCTGTGCCCCTCGTAGGATCTGCCACTGGAGGCTCTAGCTGCTACTCGGTTGAAAATGCGGTACGTGTTCTCGCCATCTGCGAGAAAATAAGAGTAGAAAAGTTCAATCAGTATTGAGAAAACAACATCGCACTACAGAGAATAATAGAAGTAAAATTTGTTCCTAAACTTCATAGCCTCTGGAAGATAAGCACAGACGTCTCCGTACCGATCTTCCAGACTCTACTAAGCTCGCTCGTGAATCGTGAGACCTAGGAAACCTAGTGCTCTAATACCAACTTGTCACGACCCAGAATTCCCACCATCGGGACCGTGATGGCGCCTAACATTTCACTTGTTAGGAAAGCAACGTTAGAGAATCATTAAACCAAATCCTTATTTCCATTCAGTAAATAACAATAATTAGCTAAGATGAAATATAATAAGTGCGGAATAATATAAAAATTGTATTAATTACTACCACCCGGATCTGGAGTTACAATTTATGAGCATTCTAAAATTTACTACAAGTAATAGTCTGAAAGAAATACAACTGTCTGAATGAAAGAAACAGTAGAACATAAAAGATAGACGGGGACTTCAAGGTCTGTGAACGCCGACAGATTTACCTTGAGTCTCCGGATAGCGGTCCAATAGCAAAATCTCGATCAACCCAAGCCCGTACTAAAATCTGCACAGAAAGTGCAGAGTTCAGTATCAGTATAACCGACCCCATATACTAGTAAGTGTCGAGCCTAACCTCGACGAAGTAGTAATGAGGCTAAGGCAAGGCACCTACAAATCAACCTGTATAATTTAACAGTGTATATACAAATAACAGTAATGAAGAGCTAGACAGGAAATATCGGGAAGGGGGGAAACATGCTGGGGGAAATACGAGATAAGGAACTACATCAGAATGATAACTGGAACCACCAATATACTATGAATCAACAGAAACAACGAATACAGTAAGGGAAAAATGCACGGCATCACCCTTCGTGCTTTTACTCTCAATCTTACCATAAAATCAATAGAAACGGCATGGCATAACCCTTCGTGCATAAACTCTCATATCATGGCACGACATCACCCTTCGTGCATAAACTCTCATATCATGGCACGACATCATCCTTCGTGCATTAACACTCACAATATAGGTCTTCACACGTAGTTCATGGCTGATAAAGCAATTCTAGCCATAACTCACGCGACCAATCCCTTTTCGACCAGTAGTATCGGGTTCTCGATCTTTGGTGGCATATGAACATCAATCTCTGCTTCAATATGATCTCTGCACTGACATCCAAAATGCACTCGCCATCTCAACTCTTGCCTTGACACCATGTCCTGGCATAGTATGGCCTTAAATAGCTCTAATACCACGTGTCACAGGCCGACTTTCTTACGTACGTCAGCGACACCGAATAGCCCATGCGGCGCCTGCAGTCACCCTTCGCTACAGGCCAGCCTTTCTCCTTTCTCAGATTTTCTAGCACGATCTTGTGCCTGTGGTGAAGCTTGCCTAGGAGGCTTGCTCCAACTGTGCCGCCCGTCTGATGTCTAGGCTCATGGCCTCGACTAATTGTGGCGCATCGCATCTGCTGGATCTCATCCATGCGCACACCCAGGGTTGGATCAGGACATGTCTGTCCCTCGCCTAGAACTGAGCATCGCTCTCGCGTGCACAGTCCAATCCTCAAGTTTGACACTCGCCTCGTGCATCCGCACCTAGCTTGTGCTTCGCCCGAGTACAGAAACCTTTAGTCCTTGGCCTTCGTCATGTGCATCTTTCATGGCATGCCCATACATAGCCCTCGCGACATACTTCCATCCGTATAGTGCAGTGTCGCCCACAACTGCACGTCTAGGCCAACAGACCCTTGCTCGCATGGTTGAACCCAAGTCATGCTCACAAGTCGACATATGAGGCCCCTAAGATAGGTGCTTCAAGTATCCAATCGTCACAGAGGTCTTCATCCACCATTTCGGTAGCCCGCAGGGCATACTCGTCCCACATATCAAGCCTCCAGCGCCCGTTTCGTGCCCAACGCTAGCCCTAAAGCGTCGCGCCGTCCATAGAGTTCCCTAACTCGTATGGATACCTAAGACACTCCTTTGAGTCGTCCAGGCAGGCCCTTGAGGTTCCCCCTCAAGGTGGCTCATTTGGTACGGTTTGGTGGCAACACGCACGTGGAAAACAAGTTGAGCTTCAATACCTCTACCCCTTTATATATACTTAAAATTAAAAAGCCTAAAGTTCATGAGTAGTCTACGACAGAGAATCAGAAGGACTTTTTCTCCCCCGAATCGAAACCCCCAAAGTGCGGGGTGTAACACTAGGCTTGTTATTCATTCTTCTCTCCCTTTAATTGCTCCTCGGGAAAATCAACCCCATTTCACGTTGCGCACATATTTGTGTCGTCCACTTGCTTTAATGTTTAAACCAGCTTCGGCATTATCATTTGTAAGAATTAAATTTTGTAAACTCATATATTTAATTTTAGAAAGAAGTATGTGTTTGATTTGTTTTTGCAGCAAAGGAAGCACTTGCATGCTTTACAAAGGAATATTTGATGTGAGATAGATATGATCCTTTTATTATTAACTAGAAATTTTGAGTTCAATTTTTGGAATAAAAAATATTCTTATAAGGAGTATTTTTTCCTTTTAATAAACTTTATATAATTATGCAAATTCAAATTCATCAAAACCCCAAAATTCGTACCTAAAAAAGAAAGCCGAATCCCAAAACGCTACAGAAAAAGACCTTTAATGAGTGGCCATACGATAAATTAAACTTTAACCTTGATTTAAGGAGAATGATTTCCACAAACATCGCCTAAATGCCATATTCAACTACTATTATTAAATTTACTTATTTATTTTGGGATGGCACGTTAGAAGCACCTAAAAGTCCATACAATCATGTGCCCCAGAGGGTATTGACTTGTAGCCATGCAGCAATAGCCTGCCAAAATCTCCATGTGGCAGATTTACACAAAGAATATCGAAATATTTCAACCTATTTTTTTTAGTTTATATCAAAAAGAATGATCTTTATTTATATTTGGAAATAATTTATCTTATTACAATAATTTATATCTACACAAAATATATATGCCTCATCTTATACCACGAGTTTAAAAGTTTTTTTTTTCCTTAAATTTCATGCTCAGCCAAATAGGTTCACATAAATTGAAACAGATGGAGTATAAAGATTGAAATATCTATATTTTTGAGTGATTATTAAAATATCGAGATAGAGTTTTTAAAGGTTGAAGTAATTATTTTTCAAAAAAAAATTATGATTAAATTTCTTTAAAATATCCATAGTTCAACAACAATAACAACCCAATATAATTTAACAAGTGGGTCNATATATATATATATCCATTGGGTCCTTTGTCTTTCCCCCCGTTGACCATTCCCCATCTCCCAACCCCAAACTTTAGAATAAGAAATAAGAGGATCTACAATAAGAAAATAAGAGGATTTTACAAGAGCTGTTCCATTTTATTTCCAGACATTGGGGTTGGATGTATTATTAAGGAATATATATGACTTGAATCCTCAAATGCATTAGATACATACTCATTCCAACTAATAAAATTCGAGAGAATGATTCAATGTTGCAATATATGAAATTTCCTTCTAACTGCTTGATATATAATAAAATTATGAATCAATAATTTAACTTAGTTCACGTGACTTGAATCTGCATGTGGTTGCTGCCCTATATGACAGCTAGAAATATTGTTCATATCTGTCATGCACAACTCACATTTAGTACATACTACATACCCTACTATTAGCACAAGCCCAAAAAATTATTTTATTGAATGACCTATGTTCATACATGCATCATCAGTTATGGTGTAAGATTGAATTCACTGCTATTTAAGGGTGTGGCCCACCTATCAATATAATGAGTGAAAATTATAAGATACCAAGGTTCAAATCTTAATAAATTTTTTTAAAAAGGTAAGTGTTCTTCCTATGTCTAAGCCTTGATGGTAGGGGTGACAAATGAGCATGCTGGGTCGGATATGAGCGAATTAAAATGAGTAATGTAAAAATAGATAAATTATTTGACCCACGAATAGAAAATGAGTTGGCTTCTTGAATATGATCATTTTTGACCGACTATTTTAAAAAAATACATTATCCAACCTATTTTTATTAGATAATATAAATGAATAATTTTATCCATTTTTACGCCACTAGTGATAGGGACGGGTGTCAAATGTAACTTGGACCAGAAAATTCACTAAATGAGCACAAAAGTTAATTTCAAACCCAGTAAATCTAATCATGAGTTGGGGTAGAATTCAAACTCAACCAGTAAAGTTAAAATCATGTATTAGCCTCTACTTGTGGGTAGAATGACTCTATATATATATATATATATATATATATATATATATATATTGGTGGAAGTTAGCAAACACCCAAAATAAAGTAATAGAAATGCGCACAAATACATCCGAGTACCACCATTATTATCAAAAGAAAGAAAAAAGATAGAATCCACCTGATATTGAGCTGAGCTCTCTCTCTCTATATATATTCATTTACACCTTCTCTGAAACCCCAACACACTGAGCAGTCTCAATTAATTCTAATTCCAATTCCAAATATAGTAATAATGGAGCGTTGTAGTTCTAATTCCAGAAAATTGATCAAGACCCTCTTTCCAATTCTTGTTCTATTCACAATCTCCCACACACAAGCCAACTCCAATTCAAACTACACCAACTTCATTGAATCCAAATGCACCTTAATCTCAACATTCCCTCCCATTTGCATAAAAACACTTGTCCCTTATGCATCTTCTATCCAAACTAACACCATAAAACTGTGTGACACTGCCCTTGACATAGCCATAGACAGCGCGAAAAACGCTTCCGATATGGTATCTGAGCTAGGGAAAAAGAAAGGAATTACAAAATATGAAGCTGCTGCCATTAAAGACTGCATTACTGATTTGAAAGATGCAGTATATGAGTTGAAGGAAACACTTGGTGCAATGAATCATCTTAATGATCCAGATAAGGAATTTCAATGGGATAATGCTAAGACCTATGCTAGTGCTGTTATAAGTGATGCTAATTCTTGTTTAGATGGTTTATCTGATAGGAAAGTGAATCCTGTTGTGAAGACTAAGATTAGTGGTACCATATCTTATGTTACTAAACTTGCTAGCAATGCTTTGGCTTTTATAAATCACCTTTACTGAAAAAATTAATTTATATGTTTAAAGATGAAGTTTTATTTTTAGTTTGTTGGTTGCCAAAGGCTTTTCTTTTTCTTTTACCCCAAATGGTCCTTCTCTTCTTTCATTTTTTCGTTTGAAGAAATATTGGAACATTATGTACACTCCGGATTTTCAGCCACTTATGCTCCACCTTTTGCTGGGTTCGAGCCGTGAAAACAGCCATTAATGCTTGCATTAGTGTAGACTGTCTAAGAAAATACCCGCGCATGATGTTTATACCAAGCAAATAAATTCAAGATATATATCGTGCATATAAATTTTTATCACTTAATCAAAAACGTTAATTGATATGTAATCTCACTTTAATGTGTCATTGCTACAATTATATTATTTAATTTGATGTAAATATTTATTTTATTAAGAGGGGAAATTCGCAGCCGCTACAACCTCTGCCACAACCTCTGCCCTTCGGGTGAGCACTTTATGCGCACTGAGTAAACTTTTCCTAGTGTAATAGCATGCAAACCACGCAGAGGATGTAAACCGCACTAGGCAAGTCCTGTGCGACAAGCTCAACCCAGAAGACATTGAGGGGGGAATCGATCCCAGCCGCCCTCCAAACCAACTGGGCAATCCGAATGGTTTAATTTGATGTAAATATTGATCGTATGTTTTTCAACTTTATCGCGATCGAAGTAATAAACAAGTAAATGACTTTTAATGGGGAGGGGCCGAGGGGAACAAATAACAACTTGTTCTTTAATTGTTTTCAATTCAAGCATAAAATAAGTTGTATGATTTGAGAAGACAAGGGACCCCAAAAACGTACCGCTTGAATCCACCCATATATTCGTCTGTGGCATGTGATAGTAACTAAAACAACAAATCTATCAAGTGTATCGAGATAGGTAAATACTTACTCGCCACGGAATGTTGGCATTAATCCGGGAAATACATGAAACATGTCTTTACAACATAGTTATCATTAACCCGTAGTTAATTAACACATATTCTTACTTTAATATATTACTTAACTATAGTAAATAATTATAATTTGGCGTAAACACTCGATAAAGATAAATTTTTACCGCCTCTAATTTAGTACTAATAATGTTTTGTTGTGGTTAAAACAAAAACAACATATCAGCGTTGAAAAGGTAAACGTTTTAGAAGGGGTGTTCAATTGTCCTAAAATTAAGCAAGAGGCTCTCTCCCTCTCTAACATTATACAGTATAATTATCAGCCAATCCTGAAAAAATAGTCGACTATATCAAAAAGAGTTTAAATGCTTTCGGATATAGTATTTCAGCAGTAATGTATGGGTCAAAATCTGCCCTAGAATATTTAAGATAAGATAACACTAAAGAAAGAGTCATCGAGCCGTCGTTAGTCGAGGTGGAGAAGGAAGCAGCAAGACCTATAGCCGAAGAGTCGACGAGAGCCATGGTCGAGGTGTTGATAATGGTCGAAGTCGAGCATCGCTGATGAAGTTGTAACGACTGATTTTCAAAATAAGATATGTAAGAGAATATTCTAGTGAATATTCTCTGTACTTGTACTATTAGGGTTTATTAGGAAAATGTCTCATATAAATAGGAAAAAGGCAATGATATGAGGCATGCAATATTCATTTTGTAAGAACTGACTTTGACAAAAGATTCTCTCTCTCTCTTACTAAGATACAAACACTACTTTTTTATCAAGATTTTTGTCTATATTATTTCATACTTTTTCATCAGATCCGAGAATAATTCGAACATTCAAGGATTTGTTTGTCACTCATCATTGTCAGGGGGAACAACCGTCTAGTATATCCTTTATTGGGTGAATCACTCCTCCTATTTGCTTGAATATCAAATATTGTTATTCATTGTTATTAAATGCTACATTATTTCTCATACTTTTTAGAATAGTTATTGCATGCTGTTATCACTTTCCTACCAGATCTATTCGACGTTAATCACGCTTTCGGAAGTCACATCTAGAAATATTATTATTTACTAGGTTTAATTCATTATCACATAAATTTAATTATTTGAACCAAGAGTTATATTTTTTGGTCAAACAATCTGGCGCCCATCGTGGGGATCTCTTAGTTAAGCTTTTAGTTCTTCTAGATCTACAACTAACACGGGTCACTAACGTAAAAAAAAAAAAAGCAAAAACAAGATCTCCTTTCTTTGTGTGCATAAATCCCAACATAGCAGGTAACCGAGAAGAAAGGACGAGAATAATAAGTGACCTCCCAACCAACCTCATGAACATCATCAACGAAAGCTGTGAAATGACTGATGAAGGCGCAACGCCCAGTGCCTCCCCTAGGCGAGATGCGTCCCCGCTCCCTCACTGCAGCATCACAAAATCTCTTGGTAAGGGAGCCTCCACATCTGTAGGGGAGGAGGTGCCCCCAACTGTAAAAAAGTTCCTCGAAGTGTGGCTAACTGACATGCTAACCAGCGTTCTCAACAAGCCCACCCGAGACACGACTACAGAAAACGCAAGAACTTGCACTATACAATCAACAGACGAGCAGTGCAACCAACTCCCTCCTCCTCCAATGACAGTTATTACTCACAATGTCACTAATAGTGCAGGTGACAATGCCCTCGCATCCATTTTGAAAAGGATGGAGGAAATGGATAATGAGAACAAGGCACTCCAAGATCAAGTGAAAGAACACCAGAAAAGGGTCGATAAAATACCGGATGCCCCCAAGCCCAAGCTGTTGTCGAAAAGGGATACCGGCCGGTTCGTCGAACAATCGTACAGTGATGATGCAGCCCCACATGTTATACCAAAAACCTTTAAAATGCCGCCCTACCTCAGGATATATGACGGCACAACCGACCTCGAAGATCATGTGACTCATTACGTCACCGCAGTAAAAGGCAACAGCCTCGCCAAGGAACAGGTGTCTTCCTTTTTGCTGAAAACATTTGGCGAAACCCTCACTGGAGGAGCATTAACCTGGTATTTGCAGCTACTAGCATGCTCCATTGAAACCTTTGAAGAAATGGCCGACAAGTTCGTAACGGCCCACGCCGGAGCCAAAAAGGCTGAGGCAAGAGTGAACAACATATTTGTAGTCAAACAATCTCTGAGAGAGGGATTGAGGGACTTTCTCATCCGGTTCAACCGAGTAAGGATGACTTTACCACACATATCCGAAGGGATGGCGGTCGCAGCCTTTCAAAACGGGTTGAGCAGGGACGGTTCAAGAGCAACGAGGAAATTGTTATGTCGGTTGATGAAGTATCCCCAACCACTTGGGATGAAATACACAATGCTTATTGTGACGAAGTCTGTGCAAATGAGGACGTCCTCAACGGGCCAACCCACCGGTTAACCTCAGTACAAGCAGAGTCAAGAAAGGATCGAAGAGACAATGCCAGAAGAGATCATTCGATCCCACGACCTAACAGGGAATGACACCGACCATATATCAGAACGGCCACTGCCCCCTCTCCTCGCTATGAAGAAGGTCAATCCAGACCAAGGACGGTAACTCATCGGAATGACAGAGGTATGCCCCCTATTGTTTGTTTACAATTTTTGTGTGTCACCTACAGAGATAGTCTACGCCCTAGAGAAGCTCGGACCAAAAGTGAAGTAGCCGCCAAAGATGAGATCAGATCCTAATACCAGAAAGGCTGACGCCCTCTGTGAGTTCCACCAGGAACGAGGGCATAAAATGGAAGACTGCATCACCCTAAGTCCGGAGGTCGTGAATATGCTATGACAAGGACATCTTAAAGAGCTGCTAAGCGATAAAGGAAGAACCAATTTCTCCAGAGGGCGCGAACATCATGGGCCACCCAAACCACCCTCACCAGCCTGTACCATCAACATGATCATCGGAGACGACGCCTCTATCAACAGCGTGAAGTTCACTACTAGACATAAACTCAAGTGATCCATCACCCGTGAACGGTACGACGAACTCGACGAAAGTATCATCTTCGACAAGTCGGATGCCGACGATTTGGTCTTTCCTCATTAAGACGCTCTCGTTATTACTCTGCGAATTTTGGATACTGATGTTAAACGTATTAAGATTGATGAAGGAAGTGGTGCGTTCATTATTCATCCACGAGTACTTACCCAAATGAAACTCGAGGATAAGATAGTGTCGCGCTGCATCACGCTAACTAGTTTTAACAATGCAGTTGAACGGACATCCGGGGAAATTACTCTCCCTGTTTTGGTCGGCGGCGTAACTCTAGAAATAACATTCCACATCATGGACCAAGACACCACGTACAACTCCATAGTGGGTCGACCGTGGATACACCCTATGAAAGTCGTCCCCTCCTACCAAGTCATCAAATTCCCAACTCCATGGGGGATATTCAGCATATGAAGAGAGAAACATACATCCCAGGAATGCTACCGCATTGCTTTAGACAGCACGGTCACCCAACAAAGGAAGGACAAAGAAAAAGAGGCATAGCAATCAGTAGGGTCGAGGGCGGGTCATGGCGAAGTCAGGGAAGGCATCAAAGATCCCGACATAGTCGAAGCCGCGGGGTCGACCATAGAAGACCTCGACCCCATTCAATTTGACTCAAACGACCATAACAAAAAGGCCTATATCGGTTGTAAGCACCAGGACCCAGGTAAATTCAGTCAATTCTTAAAAGCTAATGCGGATTTGTTTGCTTTCAGCCATGCAGATATGTCGGGCATCCCAAAGGAGATTACCACACACAAATTAAACGTCGACCCCTACCACCCCCCGGTGAGGCAGTCATGTATAAATTAAACTCCGCAATCAATGACGCAGTGCGCGAGGAAGTGGAAAAACTGTTAGAAAATTGTTCCATCAGGGAATCAAAGTGCCCCAAATGGGTCGCCAACGTGGTAATGGTTAAAAAGAAGAATGGGAAATGACGGATGTGTGTAGACTTCACATACTTGAACAAAGCATGCCCAAAGGATTCGTTCCCGCTGCCTCACATCGACCAACTCATTGATACAACGGCCAGACATAAGCTGCTAAGTTTCTTGGATGCTTACTCAG